ACTACATTTCGTTAGTTGTTCATCATTTGATTCCTCCTTTTGGAACATTCTCATGTCAAAATGCATAAACAAATCTCACTTGAAGGAGAGGAATTTTGTTCTCAGCCAAATTCAAAGTAAAGCTCAAATTAAACTGAAAAGGCTCTAGGTTGATATGAGTTCGAAGAAGTTGAATTAATTCCATGGCTGATGACAAATTCATAACATCTATACAATCTGTAACGTTATTTCATTAAATACTGCTATACAAATGTATGTTATATGAATTGACCATCTTCTTGCTCTGTTGCCCCGAGACTCCACAGTATCAAGACATTAGACATATATATAATTTTAACTTTATATTAAATAGCACGTTCTAATTAATTAATTAATACTTTAATAATAATAATAATAATAATTACATTGCCCTTGATGCTACCTTAATTAGTGAGGCAGCATGTAGGATTTGGAGCATGCGGGACCAACCAGACGGTTACTTGTGTTTCGTTAATCATCATTGTGCAGTGCCAGTTGAATTCATGTTGTTGTGTTGTGATTATGATCCTGATCCCAAGTGCTCAACACCACAATAAAAGCATAAATAAAACTATGCTTCTCATGTTACAATTTCTCTTTAGAAAAAATTGTGTCGATTTAAAAAATCTCGTCATATATGTATAGATAATCGGTCTAAAACACATACTAAGCTACAGGATATTACTTTTTGGATTAACTAATTGTGACTGGTTAACACAATATGTTAAACAAATTACATCACATTGACCTTAAATAGTAACCTGAAAATCTCTTCTCGTTATTCCCTTCTTTTTGCTTGTATACTGTACCACTTTGGAGTATTTTACTTGATTTAATGCATGTCCCAATGCAATTTCTAATGAATGAAATGATTCCGTATGAAACTATGTACGACGGAAATCGTTTGGCTAAGTAAATAAATACAATGTTTTTGGAATGTTTCTCATTGGATGCTACCAATCTCAAGCATTTCAATTTTCAATCGATGATTAGCATTTTGTTTTAACTTGGGTAACTTGATAACCGTGTAATCACTCAGACTTTTCGTGTCTCTGATTCCTATCCCGTATGGGTAGTACATGCACGAGGACAAAACTTTTGCATATAAAACGGAAGAGAAACTTTGTAGCATATAATAATATAACATCGTGTCATTGACCAACATGGTTAATTAGTTAAGTGGATGTAGCAAATGATTCAAACTAGAGAGCATAATAATTAATGTAAAAGTTGACTGATCTTAGTCTCTTCTATAATACTGAGGTATATTAAAACTCAAATTAAATTAAACTACCGTGTAGAACAGGGTTAGATTTAAAATTAGCAATGTTGAAAAAGAAAGAAGTAACTAGTGAGCCTGAGGGTTGTTCTTAAATTAATTAATACGACGGCTTATTAGGTGGGGAAAAGGGTACCTGAACCTGACCACTTTTATTTATTTATTTTTTGTTTTCACTTTTTGAAGAGAGTATTTTTCTCGTTTGGTGATCATGTTTATCGGCTTTCGCTTTTCACAACCATCACAGTTCTCACCGTACAATACGGGGCAGAGACTAGAGAACGGGGGCATTTGGTGCCACCATTTTAGGCTTAATTGTTGGAGTCATATATACCATGCTTTTCATTTATTCAGACATAGATTACCAAATGCAGTCCACAACCAGCTTTCTCCTTTTCATTTGAAATTCATGCACAATCTTATCTCTAAAACATGTAGTATTTCTGATTTGTATACGTAAAAAACATTCACTAAAAGTGATCAATTTTCTTTAATAGATCTCAATAAAGAAGAAATGTCGGTAAAGAATACATGTGATTTATAAAAATAAAAAAAAGAGAGAAAAAAGTGAATCTATATATAGTGGTTTGGCTTGATTGTAAATAGTTGCTGCATTCTTTTTTTACTAAAATATGACATACTTGGAATAAAGTTAGTCAACAAGTCTCCACTTCTTGTAAGAATCTTGATCTGTCATTAGGTGAAAGATTTCTTAAATTAACAAATCAAATTCAGACCTTGAGGTCGCGTAATTCAACTCCCTCTCTATATTTGTCTTGCAATGGTGTGGATGCGACTCGAAATGCAGCACTATTGTCTAAAGATTGCATGTGGCGTTTGGTGTGATTAAGGATAGACCCAAAAAACCACTATTCACTGACGTAGAGAAAATGGTGTGCCCCCACCAAGTTGCAAATATTGAGTTTATTCATTTTCCATCCTTGTCAATGATTTTCATTCCATGTGATATTTAATATAAAGCTATGGGTGCATTCCATTTGTCAAAATTTGAGGCGAGATAATAATAACATATATCACCCCGTTCTAACAACGATTTAGTTCATGGATGCGAAAATTAGAGTGCATTTACCGTTACTTTTATAAAGTTAGTTTACTTTATAAACAGAGTTAATTAGAATTGTATGAAGCACCGAGAATTCTACTTGTTCACCCATGATTGGGTAGTGAAAAATAGGACATAAAACAGCAGATTATGGGGTTGTTGTTGCTTTAGTTTACAAGACCCTACCTCGTTCAATTCTTCTGGAATGATTTCCTGCACTTGGAATGAATGTACAGTGTACAGGGGAGAGGGGAGGGAATAGACAACAGATAGAGGGGATCAATACCTGTTTCTTAAAAAGAGGAGACAACATTGTCAATCAAATGGACTAACTCATTCATTACACCTTAAACTAAGTAATCAACATTTTCTTACAGGATACATGTATTACGTTCCAATTTTCTAACATCCACTCTTATACCACCATTCAAGTTGCTAGGAGTGTTTATCAAATCAGATTGATACCAACTAAACCTATTCAATTAAATTGGTTAGAGTTAGTTCGATTAATTAGTTGTTATCACTTTAAATCTAAACCAAATTAATTATTACCCACAGAAATATCAATTAGTTTTACATTCTTTCTAATTACAAATTATTATTTATGATAAGAAATTAACTTTTATGATAAATAAAAAAAAAAGTTATAATATACCATTCTTTTACTGTGTAAAACTGTAATTACCATTAAACTCGAATGTATTATGAGGAACGATGATGGTACCGTAGAGTAGATGTACCGAATTTGGCATGCATGCAGACGTAGTAATCATATTCCTAACCCTTGCCCCTTTCCCTGCTGCATTCAACGTTAGACCATTTTATTGTAGCAATAAACCATGGATTCGGTTTGCCAACAAATCAAAAGACAACTTTAACTTCACTGCAAAGCTAAGTTTTCTCTTAAGAGAATTGCCATAATTTCAAAGCTTCATGTTCTAATCCCATAGGAGCACCATGTCACATTGTCTCAACCTTTTCCTTTCGGGGTTCCTAAGATTATGGAGCAACTAACTTCCTTCTTTATAGTATTCTCCGTATTCCTAACTACCATGGTCGAACATATCAAGTACCAACTACCATACCACCATATTTAACTACTTGTTACGAAATTCTAAAGGGGGGCCACAGAATTAGGAATGGAAATTTGTGGTGATTGGAACAGGAGAAAGCGTTATTCAACTGACGAATTCACCCAATCGTAAAAAATTAGGTGGCACTGGCACATCAGATATATACACTTAAAAAAAAATGTACCCAATTATGACAAGAGTGTTGAACTACTAATAATTGTTAACTTTGTTTCAGCAAGCCGTTGGAACAATCATAGCATTTCATTTATTCAAGGCAGCAAACAGGAACCGTGCAACCTGGTTAAGCCAATGGAGTTTGTATTCACCATTCAGAATTCTAAATGTTTTCTTTCCCACGTCATTTGTACCGTGCCACACATAAAGACTCTGACAGAGACATTGTGCAGCCAAGCACAGGCATGAGTTGGCTTTGATGATCTTCCCTGTTTTAATCATTTTCTCGCTGTGAAGTGAAATGGAATGAAATACAATTTTTTTCACATGTCTACCATGGAAACAAAAATAATAATAACATCACTTCTAATCTCAGGAAGAAAAAAACGTGGATAATGAAATTGAAGTGTACCGACATTATTATTGAGAATATACACAAGAAATAAAAGCAAAATAAAACATATAAGTTGGAGACAATATTTATTCTATAAATCAGTTTCATAGAATTAAGTTAAACACTAATTTATATTTTAAGATCTTATCGTAACTTATCCTGTATCTATTAAAAGAAATTGTTACTCATTATATTATCCACCCGCTAAGCTTAAATAATGGAGTGTGTTTAAATAGATCTAAGTCCTATATCCCATGAGATATGGTTTATATGAGTATAACAATAATATACTCCTATTTATCACATTTTTTATTTGAGATTATTATGTTATTTTATATACATGCCTTTTAACACCCACCCCCCCCCTCTTTTTTTTTCCTTTTCATATATCTCTTTTTGTTTTCTATCTTACCGAACAACCTAAATGATAACTCTCTTTGTACTTCCTTTTTTCATTTTTCTATCTTACACGTAGGAAGCAAACATATCCGGAGAGAAGAAATCTACTAACTTTTTTAACTTTAGAAATAAAAATAAAATTTTGGATAAGATTAAAAAAATATATAAAAATTGTGATTATTATTTTCAGTAAAAAAAAATAATAATAAAGTTTTACAAGAATAAGATTTGTCTTTATATAATCCTTTTCTTTTTATATTCTGCTCTCACTATCCAAAAAAAAAATTGAATTTCTTTCTGAACGAATTATAGTGTCTCTTGACACAGAATTGTGCCAAATAGGGTTTTTAGTTCAATAGTTCAATTCTCCAGTCGACTTTTTTTCTTCAGTAGCTGAATTTTAGTTAAGTACAAAATTCAAACATAAGTTAATGAAGTAAAACAATTGGTGATTATTTTAAAAAAAATATATACACCGAATTACCAATTGGAACTATATAGCCATATAGGTGGCCAACGAATCAAAGGCGGTTACAATAAGCTTAGTACAATAAAATTATAAATTCAGCAGGCCCTACTTTGATGTGTAGAAGCTAAAAAACACATGAAAAGCACTGCAGCTTCCAGTATCATCAAAGGATATAACAATTATAAGATTTTGGATGTCTAGCAAAACACATAATCGCTGGATTAGACTTTGTTTAGAAACAAAATTCAAAGCTAAAACTCTAAAGCATGCATTGTTTTCTTACAATCATTCCATTTGACAGCATTTACTATACTTGAGGAGTATTTTGCTTCATTAATCAAATACAACTTCCTCTCTTCTTCTGTTACAAAAGAATTATAGCACATTGTGATTCATAACTAAGATGGAAATGCATTGACAAGAATATACTCATAATGGCGGTCATAACAACCCTTATTGCCTATCCAGAAGAAATAATTTCTCTGTATGATCATATAGACAAGTTGTTAAATGGAATTTGCTTTAAGAAATGTCGCATGTGTATCTATCAATTGCAAAGTCGAGAACATAGCTGTTGTTGAGCCTCCGTAGAGCTACTATTTGAGAAAGGGTAAATGTCACTTCTCCCATTGCTCAAGCATGTTATGTTAAGTTGGTTTCCTATTTGTGTTGACTGCACCATTGCAGCAGAAAACATCAGTATCAAAATCAACTTAGATACAAGAAAAACATTGTAAACAATTTCCTTTTTAAGTGCTTGAAATTCTCAGGTATTAAATCATCTATAGATTTGGCAAAAAAATCATACAATTTCTATCACCCCAGCCACATAATGCATTCCATTGTTTGCAGCTATAGGAAACTGCATGGATGCAGAGTACACAGTGAAAGGCACTAACCTCACAATACATTTGTTGTGCCTTGCAGCTCCATTTTGAGGTAGGGACACAACTCAAGTAATGACACCATGAGCAACGGTCATTCAAGTTAACACTTCGAAGGAGCAAAACCAGCCCAGTGATCAACCTGACAAAATATACAACTTTCAGATTTGGGGGCCTAGTGTGATATAGCAAACTGCAAAGCACCCAACAGAGATAAAAACACAAAGGTAGTAATAAGATAAATAGTACTTCACAGGCCATAAGAATCCATAGTTGTAACATGGATTTATGCATCTTCCAATGGAACAAAAGCATAGCCAATGTACAAAGAACTAACAAAGAAAATTATCTCACGGGACACTGCATGTATAATGAAATTTTATTGTCTTTCCACTAGAGCTTTGGTTCTGTAACAACTTGAGTGCCCACTAAAGTTGAGGGACATATGTCCAACTATGAACTCCCCCTCCCAAAAATAAGCCCTACCAGGTAAAGAGAGCTTTCCAATACTAATGCATGTCTGACAAAGAAAGCCTCTGTAAAACCCATGAACAGACACTCGCATAGAATCTTAAATACGAAGTTGCAAATTTCTTTAACATAATTGTTAGAATCTGACAGGCTGTGATTCAAATAGTACAATTTGGCAAGCCAACAATTTGAATTGTAGATGATTTTGAATTGTGTGATACAAGGATAAAATTGGTACAATTCTGTATCAACTTGAATCACTCAATTTATCAATTTGTTACTTTATACTTTTTAAATGATCAAAGAATTTGAAAAGATAAGCTTAAATTTAAGGAACTCAAGGAGCATTTTATTTGGACGTTCCATTGTTCTACTTTCAATCTTTTGAAACATGGGATTCACACAGTTATGATAGGATTTGTTTTGTGATACTTTTGGATAAGTTGTTATGTCACTTTCTAGTTTAAAATTATCACATTGAACATTACACATCACTTATCACATATATAATACATTTCAAATCATTTTACATTGTGCTTTTGAATCTTATGATTTGGTACACTATGATTAACGAATCAAAAATTAGTTTAGCAATTTTCAATTTGAATCCCCACTTTGATAACCTTGTTGTTTAACATTAAATGAAGCAATGTGTTTAGGAAAAAAAACTATCAACATCCTAATCTAGTGTAGATATCAATGCAATTAGATCCCCTAAGAAAATAGAAGGAGGTGTTCAAAACAGAAAAGAAGAAAATATACAAAAGAGAACATACCCGGCAACCAGTAGTATGAAGGATATGAGCCACAGTACATACTGATAAGGTTTGTGCTTATATTTCAATGGTGGTGCAGAATGAGAATTCCTTTGTCTACTAACCCATTTGAACTGGGGGCGAATCAAAAAGATAAATCCAAGAAGAAAGCCAGAAACAAATCCTCCAATATGAGCAAAATTGTCCACATGAGGAAGGATTCCAACAGCTAAATTGATTACGACGATGACTATAAGAGTCAATAATGCCGCAAACTGCAAAACAATACAAAAACAAAATGGAAAAGAAATAAAATGTGTGTTGCACAAAGACGGAGAGGATCATTCATTAGGAAGCAAACACTATTGAATTTAACAAACACATGGATTGATTAATTCATTCACCTTATTGGCATATATTGTCCAATTTATTAAGAGCTCTGATAGCATGCCTCCTAGTAACCCAAATAATGCACCAGAAGCACCAACGGAGATACCTTCTTGTATGAATAGGGAAGACAGTAAACTCCCTCCAAAACCAGATATCACATACAGAAACCCAATTCTAACTGCCAAAAAGGACAAGCAAGGTAGAAGTTTCAATCAGAAACTAAGATAGTAGCTAAAGTCTGCTAACTTTCTTCCAAAACATTTATGCAATAAACCCTTAACAAGGTGAAAAGTTTTGGTTATGAAAAAGGAAAACGAATGAATGATAAACTAAAACAATGCAGGGATAATTACCAGAACCATACCAAATCCAAATTCTTGCTCAAGCCGAATTCCAATGAAAACAAGACTCAACATGTTGGCAAGCACATGAACAACCCCACCATGCAGCCATATACAAGAGAAGAGGCGCCAAACCTGGTGTCTATGAATCACTTTGTTCACTTCAAGAGCACCCATCCTCTCTAACCTAAATAAAAATTGAATTTTTATCGTCAACAGCACAATTATAGCATGACCCATGATTGAAATATCATTATAAGGAAAATAAAAAACATGTTTTTAGGTGAGGAGAGGAGAAGAACTGACGTGATGGAAGAAGGACCGAAGAGGGGGTTCTCCTTAAGAGGCTGGAAGGAGAATCTTCCGAGAAAAGAGGCAACGCAGGAACCGTGAAAGGAATGCTTAGGACAATCGTTGATATACATTGTGACGATGAATATGACAATGTTGGCAACGACGAAAACGGGCACCAGCCACGGGAACCAGCGCTTGAAGAGGCTGAAGTGGCGATCGGGCGGCGGGGGATTCGGCGAGGGCCTCCGGCGGCCCCTCTCGGCGGTGTCGCGGCGTGGATGGACCTTGACCTCGACGGTGGAAGAAGATGGGTCGGTCCCCATGATCTTCCTGCTCCGTTTGAGAAAGATGGAAGGTTCTAACGCATTGCAGTAATTAACATACGAATTGGGAAACGGAATCCAACAAAAGTACAGCGTGCAAAGTTATGAAATGGAAGGTTGGTGTTGGTTGTTGTTCTTGTTTCCCATGTCTCGTTTCTTGTTACTTGTTTCTCTTTGCCTTCCACACCAATTCTCTAACCGATGCCACCTACCCTACCGATCTTTAGTTTACTTGCTAACCAATTACTCACTTTCTTTCTTTCTCAATCCTTCTTCTTCTTCTTCTTTTTACGCCTTAATATCAAATTATTTTATGCTATCGTATTTTTTTTTTATTCATATTTATATATTATATATACAACACTTATCTTTCCATTAAAGATAATATTCTTCACGTATAAGAAAATCATTATGTACATTTAAAATCGCTCTCTAAATTAACATTTAATATTATTTTATATTCAAAATTTAAATAAGATATTAAACTCATAAAATATTAAGAAAAGTCACTTTTAGATGATATTTAGTGACTAAAGTAAATAATGGTTCTCACTTACAAGTACTTTTAAGACTTTTAAGAGTAGATAAAATGAGTTGAATTTAACTTATAAAATTTATATTGAATCTATAAATAGTTTATATGAATTGAACTAAATTGCATATTAGTTAAGATAAATTAAACTGAAGTATTTTTTTTATTTCATTAAACTAAATTTAATTATATTATAAAAATTTGAACTGAATTTTAATTCGAATTATACTAAACTGTTATGATACTTTGAATTAAATATTTTTGACTTGATGATCCATCAAGATGAGACACATTTGTAAACTTTATTTTATTTAAATTTTTTATATAAAAAAATATATTAAAAAAATCAAGTCAAACAAATTCAGTAGATTTTAAACCTAAAAATTAATCGACTAACATAACTTGATTAATCTATTAGGTCCAACAAAATTAACACAAATTTTTTCAAATCACTTTTTTTGAAACTTACGTTGTTAGATTATTGAACTAACACATTAAAACATAATATATTAGATACATTTAATTTTTACATTTTCATAATTTAATTTTGGTCAAAATAGTTAAATTTTTTTATATTACAATACTATTTTTTTTTCATCCCTCAAGTCCTTCAACACTAATATCACTAAACAATGCAATAGAGTAACAAGGGTAACAAAGAAATGAATAAATATTTGTGATGTGAGACCTTGAATATAATATTGAATAAGAGATAAAATAAAATATTTAGTGAAAGATGTAAGAATGAGAATATTTTATTACATGTGGACATTGGTGTCATATATAATAGAAGTACAATGTCACGTGTGAGTTATTAAACCAATGCATAATAAAGTTGGCTAAAATGTGACAAAAGTCGGTCTCGATGTGATTAAGTTGGTTTAGGCATTTTAGGTCGATTTAGATGTCATTAGCCAATTTGAATTTTTGTGAATTCGACCAAGGATTTCTTGAAACAGTAGGTCTCAAGTCGATTTAATTGACTTGTTGTTGTATAGTACTCCTATAATTTATTTATATGATTTCTCAACAGATTGAAAAAATAGTTGAAATGAGAGATTCATCATAGCTAGTCAACTATATTTATTATAGGTATAAGTCATGGTTAAAAATTGGTTATTTTACATTAATAATATGGTCCATATTTCTGTAATTATGCACGCTTTACTGTGTGTCGGTATTGGTATCACTATAAGAAAAAAAATTAAAATATCTAATATTTTTGTTTTTACAATCCTAAAACATTTAAACAATTTTATTAAAATAAAATAACAAAATTACCTCAGTACGCCAGTGAGCAGTATGCCTAAATTAATTCGAATTTCAGTGGGATTGTATGTAAGAATATAATTAAGGTATAATAATATATTTTTAAAACCTGGGATTTCATGATTATTTCAAGATCGCTAATCATTTGCACACGATTTGAAGTATTTTAGTTTAGTAGTTTTGTTGTTACATAATATCATAGAATTATAAACGGGGGTGACAATATATTATTTCCATTATTTTAATGGTAAGTTTTGACGACATCAGTCTCGACGTTTATGGCTATACAGTCAAATATTTGTATTTCGTCTAAGAAAAAATGTCGACGCAAAGTGACAAATGTGAAAGAATTATAATAAGTTGTTGAGTCGAGTTTGAAAGAATAGTTTATTTGCCTAAATTTTGATTTTGGAATATGAAGGGGCCGCATGACAATTTTTTTTTTATCACGTTGATTTTTTATTAGACGTATATTTTTGCGTAATGGATTTGTATTCTTGGTTTGATTTTATGATGTTGACGTGGGGAACACATGTTTATAGTTACGTTACGGAAAAGGGTCTAAGAATGTATGCATCGTCCTCGTCTTCTAATTTCTAAAGCAATTCCATTCCTGCATTGTCTTCCAAGCAATACCCTCATTCTTCATTTCCAGTTCTCCGCTAACTGCCAAAAAACAACATTCTCATTCTTTTCTTGCTCCTTTTTTTGTTTATTTATTTCTAGATTATGAACATAAATGAGACAGTGCTGAAGCTGGACGACGAATATACATGCTTAATTAAAAGAGAGAGAAAAAAAATAGGACAATTTTTGTTTTTGTTTTCTCATTGTGTCTGAAAGCATATTTGAGGGTAACACAAAAAAAAAAAAAATGAACAATTTATAATCTAACTAACTCACTATTTTATTCACTACTCACTAGGAAGTAACATGGATGATAACATCCTTCATTCAACAGATTAATAATTCAATAGATTAATGGACAAAGCAAAATCGAATTTCACTCACAAGTTCACAAGGAGACTTTTATCACATGTTACTCTTAGCTCGTGGTATATATATAACCCAAGGCTCAATTTGCAACACCAAACATGTATCTAATTTATTTATAAATAAAAAAAAAAAAACCCAAAACTACCAAAATGATATGAGGAGACACCTCTTTCTCTAATTTTTTTTAAATGTATTTAAACATAAAAATGTTGAATTTATAATGTTAATTAAGAGACAAGATAACAAAAAAAATACTATATTTTTAGAATTTTTAAATAAAAATGGCATTACATGCTTGATGGTTTTATATTTTTGTTGGTTCGTACAGTAACGTTTCCAATAGAGAGACTTCAACCAAATGATCAACAAGGCGTTTGTAGTCCAACGGTTAGGATAATTGCCTTCCAAGCAATAGACCCGGGTTCGACTCCCGGCAAACGCAGCTTCCCTTTTAATTTTGGTCTAACGCTAACGCAATAATATCTCATTTTTGGTCTCTACACAGAAAAGACAGAGCAAAATAGATAGTTGGAATATGATTGCAATTTGGTGAATCGGTGTCTCTATTTGTTTATGTGGTTACGCTCTGTTCCCCTTTTCTCAATTTCTTTGTATTCCAAAGCGAAGCGTAGCACGGTGATGGGAGGTGCTAGCGTGTTACAGTTATCCATATCCAGATTCAGAAGCAACCGCACCGTTTCTCTGTTCTCCGTTCGAGCCTGCAACGACCACCCTCGTGGCCCATCCTGCATCTACGTTGGTCCCCTCCACACCGCCACCAAGGAAACCCTCGAAGCTCTCTACTCCCAGGTCGTTTCAACATTCATTTTTTCTGTACCCATTTCATGTCACTCTAAAAAGTTCCGTTTTTTAATCTGCTCTTAGTTTTGCTTATTCAATAGGCGCGGGATGCATATTACAGTGGGAGTGGGGAGCCTTTGATTCTTGATGACATGTTTGATAGAGTAGAGGTAGCGTATCTATCTATTCGTCCTTCTTCAACACTAAAAGGTTCTTATTACATTAAGTGTTTAGTATTAACTCGTCTTACTTAAATTATGGAAACAGTTGAAGCTTAAATGGTATGGTTCTAAGTCGGTTGTCAAGTACCCTCGATGCAGTATCAGGAGGCATTCAACTTATGCTGATGCCGACGTAATTTTCTTCACCAATTCCACTCTCTCAATTATTATGTTTTCGTTTGTTTTTGTTATACAAGTGTGAATGTGAATGTGAGTCTCACATTAAATAAAGTTGGGTATATTGAGTAACATATAAGTGATAAAGTTTATAAATTTGATGTCTTAAGGTTTTTGGTTAAGATTTGGTGTTGAGTTTATCTGTGTAGTTTGCTCATGACCTGCTGACGGAGTTCTCCATAGTGTTTAACTCCTTTGTGTTCGCAACACATTCATGTTAGGAATATGTTGGAAGGTTTAGTTACATTTATGTGTGGTGTCATATGTTTTTATTGAATGAATGTCCTTCTTGTTTAGGGTACGAGGACATATTTAAGTGGTTTTGATGTTCTGGTTCTCCTGCCTCTTTTTTTTTTTTTTTTTTTTCTTTTTT